CGGGAGCGGGAGCGGGAGTGGGCGGCGACGCGAGAGAGAGAGAGAGAGAGAGAGAGAGAGAGAGAGAGAGAGAGAGAGAGAGAGGCAGCTGGAGTAGGCAGGCGAGCGGCAGCAGAGAGAGCGCCAGCGGGAGCGGGAGTGGGTGGCGACGAGAGAGAGAGAGAGAGAGAGAGGCAGCTGGAGTAGGCGGGCGAGCGGCAGCAGAGAGAGCGCCAGCGGGAGAGGCAGTGGGTGGCGAAGAGAGAGAGAGAGAGAGAGAGAGAGAGAGAGAGAGAGAGAGAGAGAGAGGCAGCTGGAGTAGGCGGGCGAGCGGCAGCAGAGAGAGCGCCAGCGGGAGCGGGAGTGGGAGGCGACGAGAGAGAGAGAGAGAGAGAGGCAGCTGGAGTAGGCGGGCGAGCAGCAGCAGAGAGAGCGCCAGCCGGAGCAGGAGTGCGAGGCGACGCGAGAGAGAGAGAGAGAGAAGAGAGAGAGAGAGAGGATTGGAAAGATACAGAGAAGATTAGCATGCCCCCCAAAAAAAGTTGCGAATGTATCTGACGCAGACAATGGACCAGATCCATTGGCACTTTCCTGGGCCGAGCAGCAGAGAGACACACACACACACACACAGAGTAAACGGGGCGCGGTCGGTGGCTTTTCCTGCCCGAACCCATTCCCGCCAGAACCCAAAAACGGGGAAAAAAAAAACAAGAAAAACGGGAGGGCCTGCTACGCCAGGCCACGTCCCGTTTTTGCCGATTGTCGAACCGGTAGGCCGTCTAAGGCGCCGTTCACTGTTTTTTTTTTTGCTGTTTCGAACTGCTCACGGCCCAATCTTGCAGTGGACTGTTATTTCTGCGAATTCTGAACTGTGCAGCGGTCACAGTTGTCTCAAAAAAAAAAACACTTTTCATGCACTTTCTCTCCCCAGTGCAGCCGTGTTATATTGGGTGTTGTGTCATGGGAATAGGGCCACCACGTACTTCACACACACACACACAGGTTCCATGCGGGGTGCATCACACTACCAGAAAGGAAAAAGAAAGAAGCACTGACCGCCCTGAAATAACACACACACACTCACACACAACTCAGGTAGTGTCCTCAGCTATTGATGCCGAGCCTACTTTTGCCGAGCCTGAAAGTGAACGGTACCAGCACAAGGGAAAAAGAGGGCGGTACCGGTACCGTCCTCTGTGAAACCCGTCTGCTGGACCTCTGGCCAGGAGAGGGAATACGAAGAAGGTCATTGTTTCTGCATTCAGACCCGTCTTGATTTCACGTCCAACATGCATACATGCAGATGCCGATGGCAAAACAACTTCCTCAAAGCAGAATCAGCAACAAGCTTGAGATGGCGCAGTGCGCCCACACAGAAAACTCAGGGATATGGCCTTCGGCCAGGAACTCGGCTCAAGACAGATTGTCACATCTTGCGGCTGTGGCGTCTGAGTGCCAGTCTGAAATTCCCACCCGAACACTGTATCCACCATCAGACACACTCACACGCACGTACGCACACAACACTTGGATCTACCCTGAATGTCTGCACTCACACACACTATCTTCTATCTTCTATCTTCTACACACGGGCGGCTATGGCCACCATTGTCTTCCCCCTCCTAGCGGCTATGGCCGCTTGCCCTCTTCAACCCGGGATCTCCTGCTGACCACCTGTGGCTCCACGCACAAGACAGTCAAGCAGTGCTTCCGTGTAGTTTGTCTCAGAATGAGTGAATGACTGATCGCTGCCTCTATATTTATACTGTTTCGTTTGGTGGTCTGGGCCTGTCGTAGTCATTTTCTAAGCAGCTTCGTTTTTTCTGAGCCAAAGCCGGGTAATGGCCCCGGTATCTCAATCTTCAAAATCATATGTAAATTTCCATATGGGACGCTGGGCCCGGTTCGCAGCACGTGCTGCTCCCCACGAATAGATTGGAGCCTTGTTCTCAAAAA